AATTCATAATTCATACACTGTTAGAAGTCGAAAGGTTTCAGTTCCGGAAGCGACTCCGAGGGGCCATTGAGGGTGCATTTGCGTAATACCTAAACATTTAACGCATTTGTCTTTAGTGCACACCTTATGGAGAATCGGGGAGGATAACGCCATTTATCGTGGACACTCAAGATTATGTGAACAATGGTGAAAGGGATACTTTGGCATGAAATCTGTAGGTTCGAGTCGTTTGCAATTCAATTCATCTTTAAAATCTGTTTTCAATCAGCAGATATGATGAAGCTTCTGCCTAAATTGTGAGACTTCAAGCAGATATGATAAAACAGGACGTCAGCATATCACAAATGAGCTATCGTGTAGAGATTTGGAGGTTTTTTTGACCACAAGATGCTTCTAATAAGCAAACTAGAGAAAACAAGCAAAGGGTATTATTTTGTGAACCATGATATTGTTTAATTCTTACAAAGTGCAATTTTATAGGAAGAGATGAGAAGGATGGACAAAGTTTTATGCTAAGGACGTTTCGTGCCAAATCATGCTTGTGTATGAGAGTGCCTATCCCAACGTAAATTTGTGAATGAGTCTTTAAACTATGCACTGTTAAGGAAAAATGAGCTTCGTTCGCACCAAGCCTGAGCTAGCCCTGTAAATGTAACCGATTCTTCGAAGAATGCGGGCAGATGTACCTGAGTGATGTCACACTTGGTCGAGTTTGAGTGATGCTTTTGTGTGCCACAGCAGTAGGCAAGGCGGGTGGATAACCTGGTTTGGCCTTTACGTCGAAAACTGTAAAGATGCGCAAATTCACTGCCATAAATACTTTGGACGAGAGTTGATTCAGCTGCGTAGAAAGTGTGAATGTCTGAGGGGAGTTTATAGAAAATGATGTCAGCATCGTGCTTACTAATATTCATTTTCTGATCACCGTGTGTACAGACGATTTAACAGAGCTTTCAAGCCACTTATTAGAAACACTTTCTAAACGTTGCTCTGAGTGCTCAAAAGTATTTGTCCAACGTTTCAGAGGTCTCTTTTGCATACATTTGCTTAATTTTAAATTACTAATTGCTGGTAAAGTCGATGGATTGCTTGCATTGCAAATTACTAGTATTTCTAGATAAACGCCAATACTGTGTGGCCATCCATACGTTTTCGCAGACTTCTCTTGGGAAGCGAATTTAGTTACAATGCCTTCGGTAATGGTGGCACCAAACCGGGTCCATGTCTCCTTTAAGGAAGGAGGAATTCCGGTAGGGCAAGCTGTACCATGAGTTGGGCGGACCATCACCTTTAAACAATGTATATCACTAAGGAACTAACTGTTGCTTGCAATTAGTTAATGTTAGGCTAAAATGTGAGAGTTCAGCCAAGCATTCACTCACTTGCATATGCGATTTATTTATAAAAATCAACTG